GGGAGCTCCGCTGCAGGGGAAGGACCCTGGGGGTGGGAGTGGGACGGGCAATAAGAAAGAAAATGCTCTTAACAAAGAAGCAAGTTTATATATTGTGGCTACGTTAACAACAAACCTCTGCTCTCCTGCGTGTCACGTGGCAGTCAGGACGGCGGCCGCATGTGCCAGGGGCTGGGCTGTGCCCAGCGGGTATGAACTAAGGGAAGGATGGGCACGAACACAAGCCGAACCTCCCCGTGTCCCCTGCCACCTGGGGGGCTGCAAAGGGCAGGGGGTTGGGAATTGCCCGCCCCAAAGCCGACCTCAGCTGGCCAGGAGACACACAGTCCCAGCACACGCGGCCCTCGCTCCGTTCTGCCGGGAGCCTGCTAAGCAGCGGCGGTGCGTGCGGATAGGAAAGCAGGCGCTCAAGCAGCCGTGCCCCATAGAACTGCGCAGCAAGCGGGGAGGCTGGGGGGAGACGCAGGCCCTGAGCCTGAGCCGTGCCGGGACCCCCTGCAGAGACGCCGCTGCTCGGGATCGGGCCCACAGACCCGTGTCAAGACTGCTCTCTGGCTGGCCAAGAGCCCCCTTGCTCTGTCCCCTTGCTGTGGCATCAGCACATCCTCCAGCCCTCCTGGAAATGACTCACAGCCACACCCTGGGCCTTCCAGCACCCTGGGCCGTCCCCCGACCAGTGAGCGTGCACCTCCCGGACCGCTGAGCCCTCCAGGGCCCCCCACCTGCACCTTCCCCCGGCCAGTGAGTGTGCACCTCCCAGCCGCACCCTGGACCCTCCAGCACCCCGCACCTGCACCCTCCCCTGGCCAGTGAGCGTGCACCTCACAGCCGCACCCTGGGCCCTCCAGCGCCCCCCACCTGCACCTTCCCCCGGCCAGTGAGCATGCACCTCACAGCCGCACCCGGGGCCCTCCAGCGCCCCCACCTGCACCTTCCCCCGGCCAGTGAGTGTGCACCTCCCAGCCGCACCCTGGGCTCTCCAGTCGCCCCTCACCTGCACCTTCCCCCGGCCAGTGAGTGTGCACCTCCCAGCCGCACCCTGGGCTCTCCAGTGCCCCCTACCTGCACCTTCCCCTGGCTAGTGAGCGTGCACCTCCCGGCCTGCTGGGCCCTCCAGCGCCTCTGCCTGCACCCCCGTGAGCGTGCATCTCACGGCCTGCTGAGCCCTCCAGCACCCCCCACCTGCACCTTCCCCCGGCCAGTGAGCATGCACCTCTCAGCCTGCTGATGCCACATGGTACAGGGCTCGCTCTCCGGTGACGGGGTGGGACACCCGACTCCACGCAGCTCCCTGCAGGTGACCGTGAGCCCGCTGGAGCAAAGCGGTTCTGGGCCCAGCAGGCAGACGGTCACCGCGCTGTCACGGGCACTGCAGACACACACACAGGAGCGTGCGGCACATGCTGAGCTCTCCATTACTCTGGGGCAGTGCCAGTAAGGCCTGGAGTGGCCCCGGTGTGACTGGCAGCAGTGGCGGGGTCCTGTGTGTGTGTAGGATACCCGCATTGCCAGGGGATCTCGCTGCCACCCAGGCAATGTGGTGCCCATGGGAGCCGAGTGGTGCTCAATGCTGGCTTCTCCAGAACTGGACCGTTAGCACTTTGAGCCCTTGTGACGAACTGGGACTGTTCTTGCTGGGGTGTGTGAATGCTGACAGGGGAGTGTG